TCCAATCGCATTTACAGGATCTAAAAATATTAAATATTATAAAATATTAAAAACATTATTATTTTTTACAATTTAAATATTTTTATTAATTATTCTATTTATAATTTATATATTACAAAATATTAGAGTTAGTTGCTTACCATAGAATAACATTATCATTCCCAGAAATCCAGTGAAAGAAACCAACGTTGCATATATAGCAAAAGGTAGTTTATTCTCAAACTCGCCGCGGTAAAAAGCCTTTCTCTAAAATATAATCAAAACACCAATAATAATTATATTAGCATAATGTACGATATTAACAATATTTGAACCCTATTGCAAAATTATAAAATATACCTATAATAGTTGTATTTACTTTTATTTAAGCAAAAAATTCAAACTAACTTGATGTACATTCAACTGCAAAGTAAAAATACATGGTTAATGTTAGGAAATATTCTCATAAAGCGATATGTTAACTCCTCTAGTCGGATATTTACTGCATAACGAGGTATTTAATCTTTTCACGATAACCATATAAAAGTAATCATTGCGGTTTTAGAACTTTTCTTGAAAATTGCACTTTTGGATTCTTTAACGATTTCTGAGATTTTCAAATTTTCGTACCACTTACTCATCCAGCACAGCAAAACAGTGGATATGCAAGATATAGTCAACACTTTTAAGCGGCTTAGACATTCTGGAGACCAATAATTTTAGTTTTTAAGTTAATATTGCTCTAGGGTCTCTTTCTGTTTTGTTTCTTACATATCCATTATCTTCCAGCGCAACAAAACTTACTACTATAAAAGTGGAAACACTTTCCCCATCTTGTACCTTATAGTAATAGTAGTAGTTTAATCAGAATTACTGGTCATTTTAGAAGCTATACACGTATTATTTTGATTTCCTTCAAATTTTTGTAAAACTAACAATTAGTGTTTAGGTATATTACAAAATATGAAAATATTTTAATTTTCTTTTTCTTCTGTTTTGATTTTATATCTAAGGTAGCAACTTTTGGAATTTTTTTACAACACTCTTCCAGTGTTCACAGCCTTTCGCAATTCAAATCATACATATTAAGTCATTTCAAATTAGTTCTTATCTCTGCAAGTCAGAGGATAACACCACAGAGGAATATTTTTCCATCCGGATTTTCAAATCAAAACTTACCTTTTTGATTGGGGTGTTTCTAATTCCATGAGACTCAATCTGGTGTCTTAAATTTAATGGATATGCATCTTTATTCATTGCATGTTATCATAGAGTCAAATAATACTTCCTTCTTGGATGTTCAATATGCAGTCATATAATAAGATAAATCAGCATTGGAGCGTAGTTATTACCATATTTCAAAAGTATGGTTTTTAATAGTTAGTCTCTACCTAAATCTGCATGTCAAATGCTCGTTGCATTACTGAAATATTTTTATTTTTTCCTGATTGATGTAACATCCACTTTTTGCGGTTCCAGTTTCAAAAACGCATTTTGCTTTTTGATCATGAATTTTTCTATTAGTTCAATGTTGTCGGCGAGCTCAGTAATGATGTATGAAATATTATAAAAAGAAAGAGCTTTATTTAAGAGATAATCCGCTTGTCGATCTTATACTAAACAAATCATTTGTCAATATTTGTTGACGAAAACAGTTGTTTTTTTTTGTAAAAAGCTAGACAGTTTTAAAATCGATCTTTATATAAAAATACCTATTAATATTTAGTTTCCCTTTCGATTTTTTATCTGTATCAACTTCAACTTTTTTTTGATCCATTTTATACTTTTTACTGAATTATATATTATTTTAGCAGGTTGTTAACAGAACCATTTTTCTTATTTATATAATTGTTTATTATGATTATTATTCTTATTATTATGTTAATAATAATATTACTAGTTACCTGTTCGGTAGTTACAACATATTTCATCGTTGCCAACTTAAACTTCTCTATCACATTGCGAATGTCTGAAAAGCGATAAAAAGAATTCAAGATCTGCAAAGAAAAACTTACATAAATAAAAAGGTTATTTTTTTATAAGTATTTAAAGATACTAGAAATTAAAATAAATTAGTTAAACTACTTAGAAAACTTGTTATACAAATTACTCTTATTTTCTCATCATAATCACTTCAATGCATTTCATTAAGATTAATCGTTTATTTTAAAAAATTTGATTTTCTTAAAAGTTGAATTTAGATCTATTGATTATTGATTCCATGCCAAAATTTTACTAAAAATTTTAGTAATAACATTAAATTTTTTTAGAATTTTTTTTAATCATCTTCGTGAGGAAGATAGAATTTCGTCAAGTAAAATGTTGAAAAGTGGATCGTATGACAAAGAAGCAGGATCGTTTTCATAAGAAAACGTGTCTCTCTCCTGATCCATCAACGCGAAATAAGATTGATTACTTCATGATTGATGCAAGACACGATTCAGGTGTACTGGACGTACAATCGTTTCGTGTTTTAAATATCAACTCGAACCACTACCTTTTCGCAGCGAAGATTGAATTACAACAGCATTAACCATTTAGACATTATATTCACAATTATATATTAGATTCTTAATTCACATCCCTTACAATTAATCTAAATGCTGTAATAGAGAAAACCATACCAAAAATCTTCGCGTTCATAGCAATAGTAATGTGGACAATTTGCAATGTGCTAATGGGGTGTCATTGTTTTTTGCCGTTTAGGCGTTATGCTAAACTGTTCAGATTTTCAGCGCTTTACAATATATAGTAAGTCTATTGTGGGACGAGAAGAGTCAAAAAGTACGGTGTCATCCAGTTCAGATTTTTAGCGGCTTACATTACAAATCTGATGTGAAACGAGAAGAGAAGAAAAGTATTAAACGAGCGCAGCCATATGGAAGAAACGCACCATAGTATCAGGTATTAAAGCACCAAGATGCCGCGATAATATTGTAAAATATATATCATAAAATTGTCACATTTAATATTTTCGCATATATTATATACTAATTATTTTATTTCATTAGAAAAAAATTTAAGCACCTCTACATAGAGTATCCATATAAGTACATTTAGCTGATTCTAAATTTTTAATTTACACTTTTTCTTGAGAATTTATAATGAAACCGGAAGTAATGAAAATATACTCTAAAAAAGATTTCCCAAAGGTATTTGTAAATATTCCAAATTTTTTTCACAAAGTATTCAATATGGAATTAATGTACTTAATGTATATATTGTGACGAACAATTTTTTATTACCTAATTTATTTTTCCTATAAATCTGATAGCACAACACTCTCCATACTTAGACGCCAAGTAATCCTATAAGGCGCTAAATACATTCTTTGCGTTTTAGTGTTTATGCGCTAAACATTATTTTTAATTTTGCTTTCTAACTGCGTACAATGGGAAAAAACAAATGCCTTTGCCTTATAGATATTAAAAAAATGTTTTAAATACTGAAATGAATAGTACGGCATTATCAAGATATTAAACAAGAATTATTTATTTTGTGAATATTTATCTTAATTTGGGTACTACAATTATATGGCACGTCATCACCAAAACTTTGAACTATACCAGCAAATATTACTAAACCAAATTAATTAATAAAATATATTTGAAATTATTAAGATGGAACAATGATGAGGTTGAAAGTTCATAAACTTTTTTTGCTTGCTTAATGCATTTAACGCATTTAATTTTAAATGAAGAGACGCAATAACGCATTTGACGCAAGAATTCAATCATCATTTCGCCTTAGCATTATCAATGTATATAAAGACGTTAACATAGTGAAGTTTAATTATAGGTACACACTAGTCAGTGACTATTTACTATATTTACGTCCACCTCCACCAGGAAGTTAAGGTACTATTTAGTACAAACTCGAAACAACCAACCCCTCAATAAGTTTTTTATTTCTCGAAGAGCCAAGGAATATACGATTTAACCGCAACCATTAAGAATTCGAATATATTGTATATTTTTCGTAAATTTCTTTGATATTATAAGTGAATTATTTACTTTTTATTTATTTTAAATATAAACATTCGATTTACAGTAAATTAATGTAAAATAGTAGATGGTTCACGTACTTAGACCTTTTTTAATTTATATTATAGTGATATTATTCATTTTCTTATTAATTCTGAAAGATCGATAAAAAAAAATTTCTTAAGAAAATAAAAACAAAAAAAAAACACATGGACTATAAATTAATTAAAAAATTTGAATATTTTCTAAGACTACTGCATATAAATCAATAAATTAACTTAATTTCTGTTATTGTCTCTTAATTTCTATTCGAACTTTTCTGATTTTTAAATAGTTTCTTTTCGTTCTAATTAAAAAATTCGAATATTTCCTAAGACCACTGCATATGAGTACTTGACAATACTCGAAACAGCGTTGTATGGTCAGAGAAATTTCAATAAATTAACTTAATTTCTGTTATTGTCTCTTAATTTCTATTCGAATTTCTATTTCTGATTTTTAAATAGTTTCTTTTCATTCTAATTAAAAAATTCGAATATTTCTTAAGACCACTGCAAATGAGGACTTGGCAATACTCGAAGCAGCGTTGTATGGTCAGCGAAATTTCAATAAATTAACTTAATTTTTGTTATTGTCTCTTAATTTCTATTCGAACTTTTCTGATTTTTAAATAGTTTCTTTTCGTCATGAAGATAATATTAATAATATAAGTCTATACTCAGAACAACCCAATAATTATAAGAATTGAATTTTTTAAGCCGAAAGCCAAAATAGATGGTTCTCTTCTTTTTTAATTGGTATATACATATAATTTTATAGACTTGAATCAAATAAACCAATAATATGAGTTATTATTTTTCTGAATTAACTGAATTAAGTTGAAAATTGTTTGATTATAAATAATTAATTTGTTCGCTTTGTTATTATTATTATTTTGTTTGGTGAATTTGCACTGTGACCTATAGTTTTATTGTGCTCCATTCATGGACTAAGAGATTTTCTCCAAGTCCAACTTTTACTATAAATTGTAGCATTAAATCAACATTACAAAGTTTAATTGCTTTCTTTTCTTAGTATTTATACACCTTAATAACTCTCAAAATTAGTGATCTAATCACTTCGCTTCTTCCTGAAAATAAGGAAAGAAAGAATGTTGGTAGAATGTTGGTTGGTAGAATTATAGCAGAAGGAAGAACGTTCACACACCTCCGCAAACAAACGCCATTGGAACTTTAATCTATGACCGACTTCAACAGACGGATTTGCTACTGAGCACAGTTATTTCAAGCCCACAAAAATTTTAAGTACTATTTAGTCACTTACTCTTAAATAATGTTTATTGTATATTCTGAATTGACAGATCGCAATGTAAGAAAATAATAATAATATCTCCTGTACATTTGCCACACTAAGGCACTTAAATAAAAAGAAGAAACTCACCTTTGTCACTCCAGCAAGATGAGTCAATGATAAGCAGGTGTTTTGTGTTAAAGAATCCAAACTTCTCCAACACAAGATCAAATCATAAATTTCAAATCCCGTGTACAGAAAAGTGACAAAAATAGTCATCAACGTTCCATAGCACAGTAAAATGATTTTTAATCCTAATGATTCATGTTTTAAGCCCAGAAGAGGTATTCCAGCTATCTGTGCCAACCAAATATTTAAGTCAATAGAACCAATATATCCTTTAGCGGGATCTGATGGAAATATATATGCAGATAATTTTTCAAGTCGATTCATTTTCGTATATAAAAAAGTATAAACATTATTGAAATGGACATAATAAGTACAGCTCTTTTATAATAAAATTTTAACAGCTCAAAAATATAGTTCAACCCTTGCAGTCACAACACACCTCCGCCAGTAAATTGGTATTTAAATATTAAAATAAATTATACCTTGTAACTAATTTAAAGGCGTTAATTGTGAAATTAATGTCACGTTTAACAACAAATTGCAGCTCTAAAATTATTTACATTGAGACTGCATTCGCAATGACATATGGAACTTTACCAGTTCATTTTGCTTTTAGTGAATTCGTAAGCATGATATATTCACAATATCATTTTGTTTGGATATTATTTATAATTATTATTGTTATAATTTATAAAATTGATTATTTTAATTTAGACGTTTTTCCGAGTGTCATAAATTGCACTTTGATTGGTGAAAAAAATTCTCACATAAGAAATTAGAAGCTAAGAAATAAATATGAGGTGTGGAAAATAATGTCTTTTCATTTCTTTTCATGAAAATGTAAGATTATTTTTATTAGTGAAATAAATCTTTTATGAATAATATATTCTTCTGCTGTTTCCAATACCTGTTGCACCTCTCTGGCGGCTATATGTTTCCATGCTTGGTAAAAAACTTATTCAGATGATTTTTGACTCCCATTTGAAGCAAGGTTTGGCTTGACTTTACATAAAGGACTACATATTCAATCTACTAGTCAAAGACGTATGTACAACCTTGCTACTAGTCAAGACACATCTTGGACTGGTAGGATTGAGTTAGGGTAGTAATACGTCCTAACATTAATAAATGCTAACCACGGCTGTAACCCAGCATAACACTTCTAATCTCCAGTTAACGACGTCTTCTGACAAAACACCAAGATTAGCACGAGTAGTGTCGGCCGACAGCAACATTTCAGGCAAGTGGAAACAACAATCGGAACAATCATCGAAGCACGATTATTCCAAATAATCGTAGTCATCAAATTAACAAACCAGCATTATATTATAATTATATTAGATTGTAAAACCTTATTTTATTTTAAATTCTCCTAAATAAATAATTAAATTAGTAGATCACATTGTCTTTGATTTCCAAAATAAAAATTCTATTGCAACGACCCCTGGACGACGGCTGAGTATACCTCAGCATAATCAGCGACAAAAACTGTGTCGTTATAACCTTCTAAAAACATTTCATAGCGGACCGAAATAAATAATGATCGTAAGTGGGTGTGGAAAGGATATTCTAAGATGGGTGTTGAAAAGTATATTCTAAATAATATTTTTTAGTGAAAAACATACTTGTATAACATCTCCATTTACCTTTAATATTTTCACGTTTTAATCATAAATCATTATCATTATCTTCAATGCCTTACCGACCTATTTAAAAGTTGTTTTTACCATTTATAAACTCATGGTGATGACATATTATCCCCGGCAAAAAATCTTCTTTAACATCTTAGTCACTCCGGTACACTTTATATAGAAACATATGGACGTTGGTCCCATATTGTTTTTACTCTTAAATTGCTAAAAATACGCTCTCACAAGCAACAACACCAACGTCAGACCAGCCTTAATTATGAGTATTTAACAATGCTTGATACTTTTCTTACTCTTAGTTATCTTCAAAAGATAAGAACACGAAAACAATACTAAATGTGATTAGAATGTGATGTATAAAATAAAGAAAGTAGTCGTGTGTATGACGTGCTGGTGAACGACATTTTACATATCCGTTTACGTTTGCTGGGATATTAAATTCTGCAATTGTGACGTAAAAATCACTTCTAGTCGTAGTATCAAAAGTAGTCTTTATATCAACAAATGAATGGTGTAAGTCAGTTTGTTTTTCTTGCATATCTTCTCTTGAATTTGGCGCCTGAAGACAAACTGATAAGGTCCAATTAGTCGCTCGACGATTGCCTTCAACCTTTCACATTGTACATTTTGCAGAACTGCATAATGTTTAAAAAACTAATCTTGCAGTATCTTCTTTTTTGTGAAATCGACAAAGCAGACTTAAATTCAAACCATTGGGCATACATTCATCTAACCATATTTAATCTATCCAATGGCTTTGAACAGATCAGGTACAACATCGGCGCCTACTCCTTTGTTATTTTTGAGCTGAGCTATAGCAGTTTTAATTTCATCATAGGTAATGATTTTTCAATTGGTTTTTGTAATTAATAAATAATATTAAAAGTAAAATATAATGAAATCATTTTCCTCAAACTAAACAGAATTTAATACAAATTAGTCACTGGTTTTTTTTGACAGGATACGGTCCAGTTTACAACCTTTTTGCAGTGATGGGATTAATTTAAAACCCTAATCAACTCATAATTAATCGAATCCAACTCTAGAATTTCCGGTTAAGAAGGATTATAAAATATATATGTATATATATTTCAATATAATTTTATTAATGAAATCAAATTTTTTATTAGTTTTTTCGACGAATGACGAAAATGAAAATCTTCATTTAAAGCAAAAACTCCTTTTTTTTATCATAATATGACGTAATTGAAAAAAGATTATGAACAAATTTGACGTATATTTGATAAAAAAATATTTAACTAAATTTTCCTTTTATGGAAACATTCGATCGACGCTTGCATTTTTAGTTTCTAAAATTTACATTTAAAAAAAATTACTCCCCCTAATTAGAAGCTTGAACATCGTTAGATTAGAATTTTATTTCAGACAAAGATACAAATATTATTCTAATATTATCTTAAATAAATTTTACTATTTATTTCTAGTTTTATTGATGTAACAGTTCCACGTTATATTACATATATATAAATATTATATTTGCTAACAAAACATCACATCCTAAGGCAAACAAATAAATAGCATGATAGACTTTCTCATGGATTCTATTGCTTGATATAAAGTTTTTATAGCATGTTATCTATTAACATACTTGCATGCCTTGTTAGCTTTATTTTGTGTTGTTTGAATTCTGAACTAATAGTTTCTATGACAAGACTTAAAATAAATTATTGTTGGACTATCAGCAAGTGGGAAGACTACTACCAAATATTCATTTTATTTCGTTTTCACATTGCTGAAAGTACAACCAAAGTACAACCAATATCTGCCAATAATACCTTTCATTAATAGATTCATTGTTGTAACTCTGCCATCTATTAACCAGTAGCACATAAACGGGAGTCTGCTACAAATTATTGCCACATTTTATTAATAAACATAGTTCACAAGCGTTTATTACAAAGAGTTTGACAGCTATAGAGGTATGAATTTATAAAAATTTTGAAAGTTTTGTATATTACTGCAAACTTAATTTTTTAAACTTTATAATAATAAAATTATTAGTGATTTTAAGAAAAGATATAAAATAAATATAACTATCCAAATGGTATCATATGATTATACAAAAAATGGAATTATAGAGGCAATATATAGTTGACATAATAATTTACTTAAAATAGTAGGCACTGTTTTCTAAAAGTGGAATGAATCAAGAAAGTCACAATGTAAAACCTCTTAAAAATGCAAAATGGACAAATTTAATGGCAATAAGTTTAGTGTTAAGCATGATATAGACGATGAAATTTGTTTGCAAACAAGGTTTGCTGGCTATCAAATTGCATCGTCTATACTCAAGTTTGCAAACCAAAATTTGGTTTGCAAACTAGTTTGCAGTGAAATTAAAATTTTTCAATTATTTGTTAAGTTTGCAAACATGTTTACTTGTGTATATCGAAGTTTGCAAACTTCTCATAATTTAAGAATTTTGGTGAGCGTCGGACAAACAAAGATTACAGAAAAAAATTATTAATTCTTGGTAAAAAGAAAAATAAATGAAAAATAATTAAAAAATTGCTAGACATTAGACAATTATTGAAGAAGTTTATATATTTTAAAAATTATTTTGTGCTAAAAACATTTTTATAGTAAGCTTTAATATTTAAACAATTATTATATGAATAAAAATTTTAAAATGTAACATATTAAAAAATTGAAACAAAAATAATTTTAGTTTAAAAAATGAAATAAATAACAGGTTGCTATGATCATCACCTCAATTTCTTCAGTTTCAATTATTGTTTTGCACTCTGTACTTACTCCGCTGTTGATATGAACGCTGTAGAAAATAAATAAAAATGAAGTTTGCCAACCTTGTTTCAAAGTGTATAGCAAAGCGCATATTCGGTTTGCAAATTTGGTTTGCAAACAAATTTCATCGTCTATATCATGCTTTACAATAAATCTGCAATTACAATTGTAAGGTATTTATTGCTATTTGTATTGCAGTTAAAGCCATTTATTGGAAAATATCCCATTAAATTCAATTAATGGGGAGTTGAATATTCATTTATAATGCATTATATTTCAATATTTGTAATGTATGTAGAATTTTATTTCTACTATTGATATATATCTTTATAATATATTTTTTTAAACATCACAAATTTAATTTAAATTTTATGCAACACTTTGAAAAATAAAAATATTTTATTAAGTACCCAAAAACTTATCAGACATAATTCTTTAATTCTTACTTTTTAAAAATTTCTTTGATTTTTAAAATTAACTTCAAATTTTGTTCTTTACTTAACAATAGTCCTTTTCGGTGGCTCGCTAGTATGGCATCACTGTTGCAATCAGTGCGAACCACCGAAAATACCTATTGTACATAACGCAACAAAAATATATGTCAAAAAAAAGCATTTAACATATTTTAAAGGTGATGCCAATTTGTTTTAACCAGACTTAATATTGTTTTTACAAACCCAAAAAAAAAATTATGACTATTATATATTATTAGGGGTATTCAGGCAACAGATTAGTTGCTTAGTAGATTATTACAACAAATATTTGCATACAAAAAAGAAACTAAACAGAGAATGTACTCTTTCGGAGTTTCTCAGATTAGGGAAAATTTGATTAATAGTGCTGCCAGTACCAAGTGTCGGCGCTATGAGCTTAGGGTGTCTCAAAAAGGAAATTCAAAAATAATAACAT